TCAACAAATGCAGTGCATATAGGGGTCATTCTATGGAAATGTCCATTTTTGCGTCCCTAGCCTTTACAGAAATATTACACTTGAAAAAACATTTATATTTAAAAATAAAACAATGTGTTATTTGAACAATTACACCTTCTTGAGCCATCAATGTGGCAATTTTTGTTTTTAATTAATTATAAAGAATTCCAAGCACCACAAAACTGCTCGCCCACAGCCTTGTACAGAGGGAAAGTGCTTTATTTTGAGGTCAAAAACAGGTTTTCTACCATTTAAAATACAATTATGCATTCATAACTATCAAATATATGATGTAAATGACATAAAAAAAACAATGCCAAATAAATATTATAAAATATATAATGAGAGTAGTGGTCCCCTGGAGTTGTGTCACTGGTGTTACCGTTTAACAAAAATCATTTATTTTGAAATAAAAATTACACTGATGGCATCACTTGACTTCCTTCCTCCTATATCCTGAAGATCTATGAAGAAAGGCCCATGTGAAGTCCACTGTCTCTTTTCAGTTATCAGAAATGTTCTAATTTATCTCATGATTTCCTATGAAGCTTTTAGTGGAAGTCACTGGTATGACCTACTTTATTGTTAGGGAATTGTAAAAAAAAAAATAGAATACAAATGGATTAAACTTAATTTAGTGAGTATACCATGATTGTCAACATGTGGTTTGATACCTTGCAGCAGACATTTTGTAAAATGCATTTTTCATGAAAATTGTCACTGGTGTTACTGTCACTGGTGTTACCTTCCTTATGTAACACCAGTGAAGATCAGTTTACGTTTATTTTCTTTTGCTAACTGCTTTCACTAATTGCTAAATGTATGCCAAATGTAACAATTTAGTCTTATCTACTTAAGAATAAGGATCTTTGATCTTATGTATGTCACTGGTGTTTCATTGTGTCACTGGTGTTACTTTTTTTCTGTCACATTAAATAAAATGTGTCACGTGACATGATAATAATTTTACATCCATTGAATTCTGCTACACTCAAGAGTTAAGATTTAAAGGATTGCATCATTACTTGTTTAAAACTGTTTTTACAAATATTTTCATTGTTATAGCAAAATACATGGTTGCGCAAATGAACTAACATCACTCAATAACACTTTTAACAAACCTGATTAAAATAAATAAAACAATCTCCTTATTTGTTGCATTATCATTATTTTTCTGTAACTCTGACTACATGTACAAAAAAAATTTGAGAAATAATATTTGATAAAAAACCTTTAAAATTGCCAAAGAAGGTAACATCAGTCACAAAAAAATGGTACATGTGGTCTTTAAATAAATGCACAAAAAAGATAAAAAAAATCATTGAGCTGTCATTTATGTGTATTCATAAAGTCAAAAGGTAATATAATAATGTGGTCTAAGTTTAAATGTTAAAAAAAGAAATACATTTTAAGACATCTTGCCATACCAAAAGTGGACATTTCTGTAGAATGACCCATAGAACGGTGATTAAACTGACTTGGAACTACCTGTGCATTAAACGGTTTAAATGCATACCTGCAAGGAGCAAAGAAACATTTTAATACTATCTTATCTGAGAAAAAAATTAATTAAGTGAAGACGATTACGACAACGTGATGTGTAGCCAAGTTGCCTATAGTGTCCCATACTCGGAATTTGTGCTCTACATTTCACCCATCCAAGTGCACACACAGAGCAGTGAGTAGTGAACACACACACACACCATGAACCAGGCCCGGATTGGCTAGTTGGGAGCACCAGGAGAATTCCCTGTGGGCCGGTCTGGTTTTTTTGGCCTCGAGGGCCGGTGTTGTCATGCCACTGGTTTAAAATATGGATGCTGTCCCTAAGTTGCCTGCACTCACAGCAGCCACACTCTTTTTATTTATTCTTTTACCGCAGCCCTTTTAGTGCAGCCTGCAGGTTAATGATGACGTAATTAACTTTTGACTCCCCCGATAGCGACACCTTGCTCAAAAAAAAAGTCAGTTGTTGGAGATATGCAAGCCAAAAATAAGAGATAAAAAATGGATATTAGAAAGGGTAAAGTTGACGCTGAAAAGGGCAGAATAATTTTAAAAAAAGAAAAGAAAGCTCTAGAAACTGACGGGGACATGTACTGAGTAAATTTTTTCCTTAAAATCAGCCAGAGTACAACAAATGAAGATGATCAGATGAGAACAGTGCACTTTTGCAGACTTCTATTCTGAGGTTTTAATGACATTATTTTAATATAGTCAGTGGGCCGGTCTAAGGCATGAAACTCCCGGGCTGAAAATGAGTCCAACTCCAGCCCTGCCGTGAACACACACCCAGAGCAGTGGGCAGCCATTTTTGGCTGCGGCGCATGGGGAGCAGTTGGGGGTTCGGCCTTGCTCAAGGGTCTCACCCCAGTCGTGGTATTGAGGGTGGAAGAGAGCGCTTGGTAGATGTCTTGACCAGTGACATGATCAGGGACTACCAGCTCTTCCTCACCCCCTTCCCGGTCCACTTCATCTTCCAAATTTCCAGTAGGTCAGACTCCAGCATTTCACTACTGCACAGAAAGCTGGGGTCAGAGTTCTTATGAAGTTGTGGTGTGAACAAGAACAGGTCTGAGATCACTTTAGTGCTGAAGAGGATCAAAAAAAGAACCAGGTTCTCTTTTGAGTCCACTTTATTGTGAACACCAAAAGAACTGAGGTCACTTTCAGCTGGTTCCCTTTCTGGTTCGCAAGGTGAGGTGGGTTTGGTTCTTTTAAAATGAACTATATGTGAAAACACCTTACATTTAGTTTTGGTTTGCCATTCACACTGACATTTTTAACACCAAATCTAAAGATCCTTAAAAAAAGGCTTTTATAACATATAATGTGACGAAACTTACCGAACACCCATTACAGTGCTGTGTGCTGGGCTAAATGTGCTCGTTGTTTGTGCATACACATGATATTTTGTACTAGCTGAAAACTCACAAACAGCTTAGAAACTGATTATGAGGCAATAAAAACAGTGGCAGGAATTTCCCCGCTGCACACAAATGAAGACCTGCTGCCTGTACTGAACTGTAACGGACAACATCACGACTATGACGAGAAAAAACAGGTACCGTATGCTTGATCATTCTGTTCTTTTTAGAGGCGAATTTTGTGACTTACCATCCTGTTTTTGGTTCGTTTACATGTACTTGTTCCTTGTTGCATTCATATTTCACTTCAGCTGCACCAGAGTTCGTTTGGAAGTGGACCGAGACCCACATTTTCAGGGTTCCCTCACACATTTTTTGTTCATTTTGTATCTTTAGGTTTGGTGTTAAAAATGCCAGCACTATGCGAACCAGGACTAAATGTTTCATTTTCTTTTTTGGTCCTGAATTGAACCAAACAGCTTGAATTGAACCAAGTGTGAACACACAAACCAAACCTGCCAAGTCTTTTGGGTTTTGATGTCACAGCTGCAGCACTGTATTACAATTTATTTGTTAAATATGTCTCTACATGTTCTAGCACACTGTAGTACTAAAAACAGAATGATACTGGAGATTTTATGGAACCATTTTATAGAGGTAATTAAGGTGAATAAATGTACCAAACATTTAATTTCACTATTTACTTAAGTAAAAACATTCAAATTATTGTATATTTTCATTAAAAATAAATTACTTTAAAATATAAATTTACTTGAAATTGATATTAATACAAAATTTATACAAAATGTATTTTTATACAAATCCATTTCTTTTATAAATTATAATTATACAAATTAATTTATTCATCAATGTGTTTTATAATATCACACAACCTGTCCATGTTGCCATAAGCCAAGTTTTTTCCAAGTGACAGATGGCAAAAAAGAAAAAAATTATTATGCACATTTAGCATTGTTTTTCCCTGCGGATGTGACCCAATCTGAACAGACATGCTGCACATTTTTTCCCAGTTGAAAACCTCAAGCATTTGAAAAAAAGCAACTAATTCTATTTCAGTCACTTTTAATATCTTGTGGGTATTAAGTTTGAAACCTAACTGTAGGTGTCATTAAGTATAACAATATATGTATTTTCTGGAAAAGAAGCAATGTACCATTTATCTCAGAAGGGAATACAGACATATTCAAATCATGTTAACACTGAGCTGAGGGAAATTGCTCTCATTATGTTTCTCTATATAAGTGTCACGACAGCCTACGGAGATGAAACGAGGAATAAAGAGAACGCAGGAGAGTACCAACCACAGCCTTTAATAATCCATAGGAACATTCACGTAGCACAGGGGATAGACGTTTAACACTATAGACACTAGACATAGGAAAACACAGGGCTTAAGTAACAGGAACTAAACAAGGATAATCAGGGGAACACAGGTGAATCAAATTAACACAATCAGACACTGGAGAAACTGGGTCACTGGGAGCACATGGGGAGCAAAACACACACAGATATCGCCCCCCCTCCCGGAAGGCACGTCCTCGCGCCATAGAAACAACAGAGGGAAGGACAGGTGGGAACTTGGGAGGAGGCTCAGGAGGCGGATGGACACCCACGAGGGGGCCGGCAGACAGAGTCCAGGGAGGTGACGAAGGAGGGAGGAGCCAAGGAGGAAACAGGAGGAGCCAGGGTGGACCAGACAGAGACAGGAGGGGCTTGGAGCAGGCGGTGCCAGGTGGGACCCAGGCCACAGCCATAACGGCGACCCACAGTGGAGCCGACGGAGGGAGGAGCCCTGGTGGAGGAAGGGCTGACGACTCCAAGGGGCCGACCAATGGTGGCGGAGGAGCCCAAGGTGGAGACGGAGAGCCGATGAGCCAGGGCGACGGGGTGGGTCCGGAGGGCCGGAGATGGCTTAGGTGACCGATGTGGAGGCGTGGATCCGGAAGGCCGCAGTGAGGACGGAGCAACAGAGGACCGAGGAGCAGCCGAAGGGAAGGAGGAGCCTGACGGATGGAGGGACGAGGCGCAGCCGGAGGGCTGAGGGAGCCAGTGGACTGATGGGCCATGGCGGAGAGGAGGGAGCTAGGAGCCATGGTGGAGCCGCTGGGTCGACAGGCCGAGGCGGAGCATGGGATTCAGAGGCTGGAAGCGGAGGCCAGGGATTCTTCCGCCATGGTGACGATGGAGACTGGCAGACCCACGGAGCTCGCACCGTACAGATGGTGGGCTGAGGGCGAGCAGAGGGGCTGCCAGACGACAGCGGTGGAGGAGGCAGGAGCAGGCGGGTGGGCGGGCGGGCATTTGTGAGCACTCTCTAGGATGGACAGGGAAAAAGGAGCCCTCTCTGGGCTAAACTCAGGAACTGGAGCCCTCACTGGGCTGGACGTGGAAACAGGAGCCCTCTCTGGGCTGGACGGGGGAACAGGGCTAAACTCAGGAATGAGAGGGACTGAGGTCACCGACGGAGGAGGGAGGAGAGGGGGCAGGTCGGTATACAAGTCAATAAGGTCTTCTTCCGCTCTCCATTCACCCAGATCCATTCTCAGCTCACCCTCAGCCACAGTGCAGGGGGCGGAGCTCCTCTCCGCGCTCTCTCTGTTCACGGCTTTCTCCCTCGTGGCAAGTGTTGTAGCCGGCTCTCGCACCTGGTCTGACGATCCGGGAGGCTCTGGCTCCGTGGCGATCCTCAGCTCTGTCGCACTCCTAGGCGATGGCTCGTCGGTCGCGACGGGCTCTGGCTCTCCGTCAGTGGTGGGCTCTAGCTCTTGCACTGCACAGCAGGGTGATGGTGGGCTGGGCTCTGGGTCTGGCTGTGTTTTGGATCGGGGGTAGACGCTTTTCAGACACTGGATGATTGCCTCCCTCCAGCACTGTCCGGTGGTGTCTGGGAGGTCAATTGGGGTGGTAGTAGTTGGCACCGATCCAGAACAGGGAGTTCAGCGTAGCGTTGTCAAACGCCATTAAAACAGTGAGCTGGCTAAACTCCACAGCATACTCCAAGAAGGGAAGGTCTTTACGGGCAAGGGAGGTAAACTTAGAGGCGAGGGGATCCATGGGGGAAACAACGGAAACAAAAAACACTGAGTGAAAAACGGAAACAAAACGAGGGAAAACACGCTGATAAACTATTTTGTATTAGGTCTAGTGTTCTGTCACGACTGCCTACGGAGAGGGAACGAGGAACGAGGAGAACGCAGGAGAGTACCATTCACAGTCTTTAATAATCCATAGGAACATTCACGCAGCACAGGGGATAGACATTTAAGGGGATAGACACACTAGACACTAGACACAGGAAAACACAATGCTTAAGTAACAGGAACTAAACAAGGATAATCAGGGGAACACAGGTGAATCAAATGAACACAATAAGACACGGGAGAAACTGGGTCACTGGGAGCACATGGAGAGCAAAACACACACAGACAGTTCATATTCCTGACAACAGGCAATTCAAATCCACAGGTTCTCCATGCTGTGGACAAAGACTTTGAACATCTTGTTCTCTCGGGAATAAAATTGGATTGCAGCTCAGTGATTGACAGCAGGTGTTTATATATTTAATTTGTTCAAAAATATATAATGTACACCATAATGATTCTTACACATTCAATACCTGACAGTTAAACTGTGACTCAAAAGTTACTATAAATGCAACCTCAGCGATGAAATGCTTGAGGAATGTGTTCCTTTAAAAAAAGGTTGGAAGATTTTCAAGGATGAAAAAGATGGAGAAAGGAGAGATAGAAAACGAGGGATGAGGGTGTGGGAGAGAGAGAGAGGGGGCTGTATTGCTCAGTGGCTGTAGAGTGATAAGGGGTAGAGCTGCCTGGAGCACATGGGAGAAGTGCTGCCGCTGCTGATACACACAGGAGAAACAGACACAAGGACGCTGGGTGAGTCAAACAGACATCTCTTCATTGTTTTAGCACTTCATTTCATATGACAGAGCATTTTGGTGAGGTTTTTGAATACAAACATCTGAAAGCCGAATACATTTTTTTTTACGTATAATACATTATGATTTAATGCAAATGCAACTATGGCTAATTACCATCAACACCAATCACACTGATTTCATGAGAGCTAAATCCATTTGATTGGACTCAAAGTTGATTTCTTTTCATCTCATAATTGGGCATATAAAAATCTGATGGTGAGGTTTTTGAATACAAACATCTAAAGCCGAATACAATTTTTTTTACGCATGATACATTATGATTTAATGCAAATGCAACTATGGCTAATTACCATCAACACCAATCACACTGATTTCATGAGAGCTAAATCCATTTGATTGGACTCAAAGTTGATTTCTTTTCATCTCATAATTGGGAATATAAAAATCTGATGGGATTGAACACAGCGATCATCCAGATATCTTATTATAGTGTAAATCACAGTATAAAGGATTTTATTCATTCTAATTTATTACTAACAATATAAGAAAAATTTCTGGTAAAAAAATATGGCTCGTCCAGTGTTGAGTGGCCAAAAGATAGCCGAATAAAATTGAGAAAGCAATGCCAAAACATACTGAAGTCAACTCAAAATGCAATTGGTTTAAAACTTTAAAATGCAGTGGCAATGTACCATTTCCAAAACAAAACTAGACCATGGCTATTTTAAATGAGCAAAATGTTCTTGAAATTCCTCTCAGTCGGACAGGCTCTGAGTGACCTGATATGGTCATACTGGCTTCCTGCTGGAGCTCTTTAACACAGTCCTCACGCTTTCTCAAAAATAAAATTGCTGCTCTATGTTGATCATCTGATATCAATCATCCCTCACTGACATCACTGCGATCGGCTCAATGTTGCCCAAGAAAAGGAGAATGAAGATTTAAAAGGAGCAATAGATTTAAAAGGAGCAAAAGATTTAAAAATGAAATGTATGATTGCACAGAGGGAGAACAAAGTGTAGGGGACAGTAAGTTAGAACGGGTGCACTGATTACTCCATTACAGCCTCACAGCAGTTTCATTTCAGTGCATTGTGGAGCAGCATGTCATTATAGTGTTAAAAAAGAAAGAGTGAGAGACAGACAGAGTCTGCCCTCTCAACTCTCCCAAGTCCATTTTCTGAGTGTGAAAAACCCTTAGAGTATCCCATCTGTCTGTCTGAAAGAAGAAAACATCATTTCTGGGTTTCTGATGGAGAACCTGTCAGTAGATGTTGGGTAAATGTGCACAGCATTTTCAGAGTAAGAGGAATACTGTGACACAGTCATTTTGTCACAGAAAAGTTGTAGGTACATTTGCAAAATTTTACCAAATTACTGTGGGCAATAAAGGTCCAATTAAATTTTTTTTTCAAAAGTGTAAGCGCAGCTCACACAGAAGTCACTTATAAACCAAGCAGATACAAATACATGAAAAACATGAAGCAGCTGCGAAATCTGCATATAGAAATCCCAATATGTGGATTCCTATAGAAGCCACTGGATTTCACCTGCAAAAATGTGCACAACAATGGTCAAATTGGATTGTACCTTACTTCCAATGTTTTTAAGATCAGTGAAATCAGTTGGAGCTTTTTGTTCATGTCTGTTAGCTGCTAAATGTAATCCTAAAAGTTAACAAACTTAACCTTTAGCAGATAAACATTTACAGTCTTTCTTTGCCAGGAAATAGATTTTTGTCCAAAAATGCTCTAGAATGAGAACGTCCGCTCTCCCTAAATTATACATACATCCAGTGTGTAATTAGAAATAGTCAAATCAAGGTTTATTATGTTTATTGCGTTTGTGAATATATAGTCTGAACTGCTCTCTTTGAATTATTCTACTATGTTTTTAAATGCTTCTGCTTGTATGGTTAACATTTGTAAATTGCTTTTGGTAAAATTATCTGCTATAAAGGTGGTTATAAATCAAAAAGTAGTCAGGCTGATTTGTTCATTTTAAAATATATTATATCACGGAAGTCAACTTTATGGGTCAGAACAGCTAGAAATTGCCCCTTGAGATAAAACAATTTTCACTTTATATTTTGTTAGTATTAGTTCAACACTAGCAATAAAGGTGAAAACCACTGTGAACACACAAGCTTGTGCCTCGTAGAACAAACCTAATGTTAGCAAACAGATTCAGGGGAGAGAACACGACAACAGCGTGAATTAAGACAGCAGAGGGTCAGAGAAGTCCTGGAGAGAAAGGAGGATAATGAAAGGATTTTTGGCACAGCAGAGGGGGAACAAGGAGATAAACAAGGGCTACTTTCCCTTCTGGAAAATGGCCTTAAATCCATAAAAATAAACAACACTTTGCCTGTAATTGTAATCAGCAAAATGCACATATTTTTATTTTGTTTGTTTATTTGTTTATCAGTTTATTTGTATTTATTTACCTATAATTCAATCCTTATCAACTCCTCTGCTGCTAGGCAGTGCGATGGCGGTGGAGCGCTGCATAGGCATAACACAACCTCTCCTGCACCCAACGATCGTCACCATGACACGCGTCCGCCTCACCGTGCTGCTGATCACCTTCACGGCCCTCGTTTTGGCAGGACTCCCTCTGCTAAACGTAGGCAATTACAAACCACAGTTCCCTGGCACTTGGTGTTTCTTACCTGTTAACAGTTTGCTCTCCATTACTGATGCCAACCTCGCTCTGGCTTTTTCCACACTGGGGCTTGTAACATTGACCGTCTCAGTTGTGTCCAATACTATAAGTGGGCTGAAGTTGCTCCAGGCAAGGTTTAAGGACCGATGTGTTAAGTCAAGCATCGCGCGGAGACACGGATCCTTCCCATCTTCATCTCTGCACTCCCTGGATGTGGAGATGATGACGCAGTTGGCCGCGATAACAGTGGTCTCCTGTGTCTGTTGGAGTCCTTTTCTTGTAAGTACACTGTCAAAAATAAAATAGAATCTGTGAAATTTACGTTAAAAATGTCAGCTGTGGTTGCTAGAACTTTACCATAAAAGATATGGTATGTTTTACATATTTAACTTACATTTACAAAAAAAAAAAAAAATTCAATAATTGACATTATGTTGATTGACAAAACACAGCCCTGTTGAAAGCGTTTTGAAGCATGGGAGCTGGTTTAAGCTGGTCCTTATTTGGTCATGAGCTGGTTATAAGCTGGTCCTGAGCAGGAGCTAGTTGCTTAGGACAAGCTTAAACCAGCTCATAGCAAGCTTATAACCAGCTCATGGCCAACTAAGGACCAGCTCAAACCAGCTCCCATGCTTTTAAACATACCTAACCAGCATCTGCTGGTTTTTTCAACAGGGAGTGGTTATGAAAAAGTAATCATGGTAACACACAAAAGTAAAACAATGCAACCAACATTGATTTAAGATGTAATATAAGCCCTAATGTACCTAATTGATGAGAAGAAGAAATTCACACACAGCGCCTCCTACGGAGACTCGCACAGAAAGCAAATTAGTTTACACTGATCACACACACCTGTTTACACTCATTTCGAATATGTTTACATGTGATCACTCACCAAAAATATATGAAACGAAGTATTTAAAGCTCAAACGGTGTGAAAATTACTGTTTTTTTCTTGTAAAAGAAGTGAAGAAATCTGTATATTTAAAAAAATTAAATTAAATTAAATAAAAGGTCCATTAAGTGTACTTTCATCACTGTTTAAATACATTAGGGCTAATAGTCGACTAACCAGAAGAGGTCGAAAATTTGGCCAAAATTGTATTAGTCGCAGAGAAAAAAATTCACATTGGCAAAGTCACGGCTGGTCTATGTTGTGGTACAGTACATCCGGCAGGACATCCAAACGCTCGCCTTTCAATCATCCACCACATCTGAAATATGTAGTATTAGCAACTTTACATGGCCGCTCAATCCAGATTATGTAATCCGTATGAAACATGCATTCAGGCGCATCCACCACTGCGGAGATGAGTCGGTGGCATCTCTTAAACCAAAACAAAGAAAGCACTTGTTTATCAGTGAATTATTAAAATGTTAATGCAGCCTCCTTACTGTTTTTCCCTGACACATTCATAATCATAGCTTCTGCGGTGCGCTGTGGCAAGCTTTATGCGGGTGCTTGAGCGTGTATAGGCTTTGTAGGCAATTAAAGGCTCATTATAATTTAAATGGGTTATTATAATGAACGTGCGATTAGTCGACCAGTGCTTAAAATGAACGACTACTAGTCGACCAGAAAAATCCGGGCAGCCCTAAAATACATCTTTAAAAAGTGCATTTTGTAATAATGTCAGATTTTTTACTTTAAAGTACATTTTACATCATTATGTTTTATTATTTTTTATAAAGTATTTATTAATAAAAACGTGTTATTCTTTTATAGTAGCTATATTATTTATTATTTCCATAATAAGTAGGCCTACACTTATTTCGTAAGAAATATGCTGAAGTGTAGCCTACTTCTTTTTCACAAGGGTTGACCTTACAGTTTACAAAAATGTGTATAACCATCAAAATAGCTATAACAAAAAAAAATCCCATTTATCTCAGTGGTGAAAAGTATGCTACCGTATATGCAATAAGTATGCAATAAGTAACCTTTTTGGCACTTAGCTCGTGAAACATCTGCAATTTTATAATCACTCATCAAAGGCTCCACAAAAATGTCAGCGTAAAACATCTACATTTATATGATTTTTGTTAATAATAATAATAATAATAACGCTGCTTTAAAAAAATAAAACCGTTTACAATATATTTACTATATAATAATAATTACTTTGGTACTTAGCGAATGTTTACTTTTTAACGGGTGCAATTACTTTAGCAGGAAACCTGTTATTGTCACAAAAGTTTGTGCATGAAAGTTACAGTGATGTCGATGTCTCTCTTCATACAACGTTAAATTCTGTTGATTTAAAAAAAGCTTGATCTTTTTAAATAAAGTTTTAAAAAATGGCGCGTGTGTGTTTCATAAATAAAAATTGTAAATAACATCATAAACAACGAACTATCCGGTCGTTAATGACTCGACGAGTTCCACGCTTTTATTGTGAAAACACCCTCTCCTTTCAGCCATTTTGAACAGCTTGCTCACCAACTCCGGCTTCATGTTGCTCCAAACTGCCAGTGCTTGTTAGTAAACACATAGTTTGTCAAAAAGGTGCTGCACACGAAGTGAAGATACTTACAGAATAGTGTACTTCTGAGTGTAACACACAAAATTCTCAGTCGTGTGGATTCCTATTTGAAATGACTGGATTTCGGCTGCAAAAATTTGCCAAAATGTGACAGAACCTTTAATGACATTTATTAATGGTGACTTCAGATGAGAGCTATGAAAGATGTGAATATTATACAAGTGTATAGCAACTTAAATGACTAATGCTTCACTGCATTATTTTCAGCAGGCTTGAATAACCAATTTCTCCTCCTCTTGTCCATCAGCGGTCTTTACGTGCTGCTGAGGGTTAAACTGGCACTATGGCATCATATTCGAAACCGAAACACCATACCCTCCATCTTTGCACAAACCGTGGTTCGGCACCCAGACAAGCCTGCGCTTGTGTATGAAGCCACTGGGGAAACGTGGACTTTCTCCCAGTTAGATCAGATCTCCAATGCTGTGGCCCACTGGGCCCTGAGCCAGGGCTGGACCGCAGGAGATGTGGTGGCGCTATTCATGGAGAGCCGGCCGCTCCAAGTGGCGCTGTGGCTGGGCCTGGCCAAAGTAGGCGTAGATGCCGCGCTCATCAACTTTAACCTTCGACGGGATTCGCTCCTGCACTGCATGGGGGTGTCAGCATCCCGAGCGCTGGTTTTCGGAGCAGAGCTAGTAGACGGTGAGCCTACGACCTTCTCTCTAACTTTGACCTGGATCATGCAACTAATTAATTGCACGTGCCTCCCTGTGTGTATGTAGCTGTGTCTGAAGTGAGCTCCTCTTTGAGTGAGAGCATGGTGCGGTTCAGCACGGGAGACCTCAGACCAGACCAGATGGCCGCTCTGAAATGCCACCCCCTTGACTCCATTCTGGCATCTGCCCCTCGAAACCCACCACCCTGTGCCGTGTCCAAGGGCTTCAACGGTGAGTTTTACAGCATTACGAGGTTTTGGCTATATTTGTCGAACACATGGGTAATGGATCGGATACGGCTTGTGGAGGAGTCTGGAATGATTTTAGGAAAAAAGATGTTTCATTTATTAAAAGGGTTATGATGAGTTGATAAATCAAGTTTTCCTCAAAAACATATAGCAAGTAACTCAAAACATCCTTGTTAGTCCAAAAACAGCTTTTATTGAAACCAAGCGGACTCATTTTCTACTACAAGGATTTAATTATGTAGTAGAAATGAATACATCAGGACAAGACTGCCTGCACAGATACAGAAGACATGTTTGGATCACGACAGGGTCACTTGGAATAAATACAGATTTAGATATAGATTTTCCAAATGCTGCACAGTGTTTAGGTGTGGAAGAACATTGTCTTTGCATGCCTTGAACGCAAGCTTTGCAAATGTACTTTTAGGACAGGACTGTAATGCTGCAACACATAAGTAAGCATATTAATTCTAAAGCCTGGCCAATGATAAATAGTTTTGATATGTAAGGTATTGATAAGTAAAATAAATGAATTTTGGTTTATTCATCATGCAAAATCAAGCCATTAACTGAATATTCATATTTACATCGTACTAAAGTCAAATTCACAAGTACTAAAATAACTCAAACTTAATAAAAAAAACATATAGACATATTAAAAAACAACTAATAAAAATGACAAAACGCAACAAAGTTACTAATACTTGAACTAAAATGAAAACTAAAATCTAGTTCAAAATATTAACAAAAAATATATAATGTATGTCAATACTTTTAAAATAAGAACAATAGCTGATATAGACTGGAGCTGTCAATCACTTCAGTTCATTGTGAGTTCTGCTCTCACCAGAACTACTGTTATAATCATTGAAACCGTCTGCAAAAGTAATCTCATATTTACATTGCATTGTGTTCAAACCAGAGGGTCAAAAACAGGGTAAAAAGGCTATTTATTTTTCAATTATGACTGCATTTGATGTGCCAATATTATAAGTGGACCTCAGGGAATATTATAAAATAATAATTTTAAAAAAGTAAAAACAATTCATGGCCCCTGTAAATGGGTATGATGTATTCAAAATATTATTTTTTTAGCTACAGAAGGACAGATAAACTGTAAATTTTTTCTGTTGCATGTAAACCCACATCTTTTTTATCCTACAAGAACACCAAGTTATTCCCCTTTTAAAAAGCAGCATGCACAATTAAAATGAGTTTGACACTCCTACTGTAGAGGTTCATTCAAATGAACCGTCTGATGAATGGATCAGGTGGCATTATTATCGTCTTTATGTGCACATTACTTTGACTATCAGCGCACTGGAGTGTTACATTTATTTCATGTCTTGTGCTTTTACATTCTCTGCTGCTGCAGTTTTGTAGCAAAATTTCTGTTGTGGGCCATTATTAAAGTTTTTATGGAGGTAAGTTAGAAACTTCTAGACAATTAGTTTAAAGCCGTTACGGTGGACAGACGGTATTAGAATCATGTATAAACATTGTCTGCTTATCCTGGTGGCTAGTTGTGTTTATTGTCGGTTATTGGTATGTAAAGTATATTTTTGATGTCCTCCCTTCCAATAAGAAAGTATTCCAGTTCTCCAAGACTGCATTTGCCCTCTATTTATTACAAAATATGGTGGATTACCTATTACACAAGTCGTTATAAGACCACTTCAGAATGTGCTGCTGGCAGAGGTATTGGTTTCTTTGTGTAAAAGCCAGAATCAGTCACAAGTTTGAGTAGCATATTAATTAGATTTTTAATTTGCAAGTCACAGAGATCTATTACCTCAAATAAATGTATCCACTCGTCTGAAGTAGTCCTCAATTCTTTCAAGAGCTCTTTTGATGATACGAGAAAATAATCGAATTGAAGACAAGTGTCTGCGTGAGAAAGGCAAGAGTCAGAAAGAAATATTTGAATGTCAGAATACAGTAGTCAGCATTTGAAGTGTTGTCCTAATGTCCTAAGACAAGAACAGGTATTGTTTTGGTTTTAGGACAACTTTGATGAAAGGTTTTGATCCACTTCAAATGTTGACTACTGTAGCATAATTTTTTCGAATGTTTCAGAATTTAAAAATCTCAGAATAGAATAATGAAAATGTTTCAGAATTAAAAAATCTTGGAATAACATAATTGCACTATATTCAGCATAGCCAGTGCAAAATTCAAGATCAGTATGCATGGTATGTTACAGTACCAAAATGTCAGTAGTTGATACTAATAGCAGTGAAATTCCACGATTGTCAATCAAATTTCTAATTCTGCAGTAAAAGATAATGTGCTATTGCTTTTATAATAAGTAAATTAGGTAATGAGTCAATATTATTTAACCAGACTGCTAATAGTTAAGACATGTTGATACATTTAATTCTGTGATTATAAAATGATGGAACTTACTGAATTAACTGAGATGTTCATCATTTATGTTTAAGTTTTTAAACGTATAGTAAACTGTATATCCTGCGCACTAGACTGTTAGCAGTAAACTAGTAGTCTAAGCATCACCCATGTCTCATCACTGTTTTATATTTACATTACATCTGCATTTATTCATTTTTTTTTTCCTCCTTTCTGTCACAGATCGTTTGTTCTATATCTACACTTCTGGCACCACAGGACTCCCTAAAGCTGCCATAGTGGTGCACAGTCGGTAACCTGCTCGCAGCCACATCACATTCATAAATCTCAGAGAGAAATACTTTTAGGCCCATTTTTGAAATGAGTTTTCATAAACTGCTTCTATTTCCAAGATATTACAGGATTGCTGCTTTCGGGTACCATTCTTTTCGAATGCGGCCAGATGACATCATCTATGACTGTTTACCCCTCTACCATTCAGCAGGTATATTGTGCATCTGACAGACATGTTGCTTCTGATCAGCTGCTGACATTATAGGCCGCTTGTCTTTCGATGAATATGTCATAAGTTGTTAGAAGATTGTACAAACAGCTCAACACATGCTGTGCATCTGTTGAATTTACTCTTTTACAGGTAATATTATGGGGGTGGGCCAGTGTCTGATTCACGGTATTACTGTGGTGGTCAAGAAGAAGTTCTCTGCAAGTCGCTTCTGGGAAGACTGCATCAAACATAACTGCACTGTAAGTCACTTTTATTATGGTTATTAATGACAAATAAGAATGCCCAAGATTATGAATATGACCATTTTAAACAGTTTGTAACATTTTCACTATTTACATATAGTTTAAAAAAAAATCTTTATACCATTTCCAACACAGATTTGAGAAATTAGAAATTCATATTTGTGGCCCAGTACCACAAAACCAGTCATAAGGGTCAATTTTTCAAAATTGAGATTAATACATCATCTGACAGCTGAATAACTAAGCTTTCCATTGATGTATGATTTGTTAGGGTAGGACAATATTTGGCCGAGATACAACTATATGAAAATCTGGAATCTGAATCTAAATATAGAAAAATGTCTTTAAAGTTATCCAAACGAAGTCCTTAGCAATGCATATTACTAATCAAAAATGAAGTTTTGATATATTTACAGTAGGACATTTACTAAATATCTTTACTTAATATCCTAATGATTTTTGGCATAAAAGAAAAATTTTGACCCATACAATGTATTTTTGGCTATTGCTACAAATATACCTGTGCTGCTTATGACTGCTTTTGTGCTCCAGGGTCACATTTTCTTTACACATTAAATACATCTGAGTGTACACACCTTTTGAGTGTATGTTGCTTTGAATAAAAAAATTAAAAAAGCATCTTTCTCTTGGGTTTATACCATTTGAAACTGAACTAACCTAAAATAAAATGGTATTTAGCCTATATGATATTTTTAAAAGCTGTACTGACTTTAAGGGTCTCCAAGGGTTCTCTCTTTGCAACCAGTTCAGTTTGTATGTTATCTTGTCACATGATGACAGAATAGCGTCCTGCATGTTGGTTATTTATGCATTTAGCGGATACTTTTATCCAAAAGCAATCTGTCAAGGAGCTAACAGTACTCGGAATGTTCAATGCCAGGTTTATTTGACAACTAGATTAGGAAGCAAGCTAAAGAAGAGGAGAGAGTGTGTGTGTGTGTGTGTGTGTGTGTGTGTGTGTGTGTGTGTGTGTGTGTGTGTGTTTTATTTTTTTTGTTTTGGGTGTGGTGGTGTGGGGTGTGTGGGA